ATGACTAGCTGGATGGTCTAGTGGAGCCTTTCCCAAGCAGAGATTCTTCAGGAGGTAGCAAGGGTTCCTCAAAGGTAGGTATAGCTTTATGTCTTTCTGGATGGAGCAGGAGAGTTAGACACCAGTCAGGTCTAACTGTGGCCTGTGTTCCCGTTTAGGAGGTCCAGCTTATTTGTCTTGCAACAATTGTTGCTGAAACTGCAAGGCGTGCATGGGGCTAGCAATGCCTCATTTCTCATGTAACTACTAAACACCAATGATTTTAGCTGTCAGAGCACCCTTCCAGCCACCAGTCCTTTCCGCTTCCAGCCACCAGTGCAATGGTGGCCCCTGTCCTCACCGCTCAGCAGTGCCAAGGTGGCCCCCTTTCCCCCTACTGGACGCCAACGCATAGGCGGCCCGTTTCCCCCCCAGACACCAACCGGACGCCAAAGTACAGGTGGCCCTTTCTCTTGCTCCCCCCCTCCCCCACCGGACGCCAACGTACAGGTGGCCCCTTTCTCCCACCCCACTGGACGCCAACATAAGAGTGCAGTACAAGTACCAATTTTCCTTGCAGAACTTTAAAGTTTTAATCTACTGCGTCACTTTAATGTCAAGATCTACCGGGGGAGCGAAGGGCAACTATGGGCAACTAGTGCACTTCTGCAATCTTTGCTTATTCATTTGAATAAGTCAGCCCTGATGTTGAATCAGTGCAGTGTAGACACCTCACTGTCTCACACCCACAATGCCACCCTTCTGCACAGAATACAGAGGACACTTTTTGCCCCCATGCCCCCAGGGGCATGCTCACATTGTGGCTGCCAGCCCTGCAGCTTGGGTATGAGCCCGACCAAACATTGTATATTTCAGTCTGTCATTTAACTATAAAGAAAGGACTTACAAAGTCACTATGGGGACATTCATTTCTAATAAGAAAAGTCCAACATACAGAAGGACACCATGGCTCCATTCAGCAGAGGATAAAAAATACAGTGCGGCTCTGTTGGGACGCATGTGTGGTCCAGACGAGCTGGGCTCACACCCTCCGGGCCCAGATGAGTCCCACAGAGCACACAGGCTAAAGATCAGCCCGAGTAGAGCTCTGAGACGAAAGACGAAGCTCTAGGCATGGGCACAAAAGACTCGTAGAAGAAAATAAAAAGACAGGCCGGGATCTGTACACATCTAATAGAGCGGCAAAAAAGAAGGACGAGTGGAGGACGGTAGACAAAACAAGAGCAGGAGAGTGCAGACGTGATCTAAATGAACCCCGATACCCAAAGGATCTGCAGAAATGTTTTCATGATCTGCTGGACACTCCCGCCTGGCAGCTGAGGACAGAACGCTTCCAGATGTGCACCGCTGTGAAAGATCTCCCCCATGCATACTCACACCCGCTAACCAGCCGGTGCCAGGGGCTAAGGTTGAAGAAATAAAAATGACAAAGAAATACCAAGAGAAAAAGTGAAAAAGAAAGAGGGGGGAGGGTCCGTCTGGAAGGAAAGTGATTTTTATAGAGAAAAAAGCAGGATGAGACTAGCAAGTAGGAAGACCACATCTGATGACAGCAATGGCTAAGGGGCTTTTGCCTCCACCAATCTACCACAGCACTGTAAATACAGGAAAACCCACTCACTCCCTCTTGTTCTTGAGCCCAAACCGGAGAACATGCATAGCACACCCTTGCTCTGCCATTTCATGCTCTGCGAGCCCCCGGATCCCCGCAGTGAGAGCCTGGCACAGTCGGGTCACTGAGCATGCTTCCCTGAGCAGAGCCGTTCTTCTCGCTCCATCTGGCCCGAATCAACAGCTAGTTCCGGAACCAAGGGACAACCTGTCACATATGGGTACATCAGGCAAACCGGTGGATTGAGGGAAGAAACAGAGAACTTTCCAGCACTCACGTTACAGAGGGTTTCACTGGCACCATGAGAAATAAACAGGCTGAGAACATAAAACCACTGCCAGCGGTCCATTTATAGCCATGCATAGTCTATGCCAGCACTTGTCCCACTGCTGTCTGGATATAATCATTGTACAGCGATGATGAAAGCATCTCCAAGCACAGAAGTTGCAGTGCAGAAGAAACCTTCAGTTATATTAAACTACTGCGGCTGATGAATTTAAAAGGGGCTTAGGGTTAGGCAGATATGAAGGACATGATTGTGATCCCAGTCTTCTCACCCAACATTAGTTCCTGACCTCACAAATGTGTACAAGTTCCCACAGACACCTTCCAAAATCTTCTGCCCATCACACCAACACTATATGGTCAAAAGGTACATGGACACCCTTTGGATTTTGGAGTTCAGGTGTCTCCAGTGAAGGGTCCTGGTAATGCTCCATCATACAAAGACATCACAAAGTTGGAAGAGCACAATTGTCTACAGTTTGGTGAAGACCCTTTACTGTTCCACCGTGGCTGTCCCCTGTGTACAAAGCCAGCTCCATAAAATATATTGTAGACAATTGAGCTCTTCCAATCTTATGGAAGAACAGTAAAGTGTCTTCAAATTGTTACGACTGTCTCCAGTGTACAAAGCCAGCTCCATAAAGACATAGTGTGACCAGTTTGGTGTGGGAGAACTTGTGTGCTGCACAGAGCCCTGACCTCAACCCTACTGAACACCTTTGGGGTGAACTGGAAAGGCAACTATGAGCCAGGTCTTTTCATCCATCAGGACACAACCTCACAAGTTCCAACAGACACCTTCCGCAATCTTGCGGTAAGTCTTCCCAGAAGAGTGGAGATCAGGGGAGGGGAGGCGGGGCAACTCCATATTGCCAGCCATGCAGGGGAGGGGAGGCGGGGCAACTCCATATTGCCAGCCATGCAGGGGAGGGGAGGCGAGGCAACTCCATATTGCCGGCCATGCAGGGGAGGCGAGGCAACTCCATAATGCCGGCCATGCAGGGGAGGGGAGGCAGGGAAACTCCATATTGCCGGCCATGCAGGGGAGGGGAGGCGGGGAAACTCCATATTGACAGCCTTAGTTTGACCAGTTTGGTGTGGAGGACTCAAGTGTCCTGCACAGAGCCTTGACCTAAACCCTACTGAACACCTTTGGGATAATTTGGAATGCCCAACTTGAACAAAGTATTTTATATGGGACACTATTCAAATACTCTTCCCTTACTAATGCTTAAAGTGCCAACTGCGGTATTCCACCAAATACAGAACATGAAACCACCACTGCTTGCATTAGATAGTACACACAAATGAGGTACTTTAATAAAATTCACCTTTTATATGAGTTCCCACAGTCTAAGGAATACAAATCATTACTACTGCAAGAGGAGGGGGGGGAAGAGTTTACATTTATTGCATTGCCCTGGGCTGCAATAAACCTTACTATGACCCTAAACTGCAGAAACCCTTCTACTTAACAGGCCACGAGCCCCGCTAAGGGGAATACTTGAGATGTACTCCACACTGCTGCGTGAGCACATTTCACACAAGACTGGTGAGAAACAGCGGCACTTTAATTATACCAAAGGACTTCATACAGAAAAGAATGCGGGTCTCATTATTTACATTTCCTGCTCTGAATCCCCACCGAAGCAACTTTTAACTGGTTTTAGATCTGAGAAGGACTAATGATAGTCTACGGAGGGCTTCTACTGCTAAAAATAATTCACTTAAAGGTCATTCATCCAAATATGGGCAGCAAGCATGACCTTGGGGACACAATTCAGTTCTACTAGTAAATGGACAATGCCGAAAGGAAAATCAGTTATAAAAAATTGAACCTATTGCATGAAAACGTGTGGAGACCCAACGGTCACATCTATTGTATGAACAAAAGTACATGAACCCCTCCCCAAATCATGGGGTTCAGATGTCTCCAGTGAAGGTTGTTAATACTCCATCATAGAAGACATTGTAGACAATTGTGCTCTTCCAGCCTTGTGGTCACAGTTTGGTGAAGACCCCTTTCTGTTCCACCATGACTGTCCCGTGTACAAAGCAAGCTCCATAAAGACATGGTGGGACCAGCTTGGTGTGGAGGAACTCGTGTCCTGCACAGAGCCCTGACCTCAACCCTGGTGAACGCCTTTGGGATGAATTGGAATTCCGATTGTGAGCCCGGTCTACTCATCCAACATCACTACCTGACCTCACAAAATGGGCCAAATTCCCACAGACCCCCTGTGTGGAAAGTCTTCCCAGAAGAATGGAGGATGTTCTAGCCAAGGGGGACAAATCCATATTAATGCCAATTTTTTGGAATGAGATGTTCAACAAGCTCATATTGACGTGATTGTCAAAACGACCATATTTAGGCTCATTGTAGACCTAACCGCCAACACTAGCTTGCCACCTGCAGTTATTCTGCACCCCGTGCTACTTATGACTGGATTGCCATCCTTTACTTGACACTGAGCTACCTAAATTGTATATGCAAAATTAGTTTTATCCCTTTAAATAAAAATAACGGATGATCTGCCAGAAATCAAGTGAGCTACCTGCAGTGGCCGATAACACTGCCTCTGCTGAATTGAAAACCTAAGGAGTGTTGTCAGCCCTGCCGGAGATCTCCTCTGCTGGACTCCTGAAGGCTACCAACCCCCTCCACCCACATGAGCATACATTCAAGTCATTCATAGGAAAGCAATGCTTTTGCCATGATCGCCAAATAACTGCCCAAGGTAACATGTAGTTCTTGGGGCTGTGAATAAGTCAATAGAAAAGAGACCTAAGGCTTTGCACTGATCACTTGCCCAACAGCTGCCCATTTTACAAGCTTGATATCACATGGTGTATTAAATGCCATGACTCGCTAAAAAAAAAAAAGCCAACATTCATGCAAAAAAAAGATGCTGGGATATGACCTAGAGGGGAAGAGGGAGCTTTGAGGGTAAATTTGGGTCATAATGTACTGTTCAAGTATGGTATATGTCCCTACTATGCATGTATCTAGCACTCTCCTATATAGGAGTCTCCTGCATTATTCCACCACAAGACAAGTGGCTTGGTTGAACTCAACAGCAGTTGTCGGTGAAGAGACACTTACACGTGATGTAATAGTCCTGGTTCCTCCTGAACTCCAGGCCCATGTAGTTCGGGCTGAACTCCTGGAATTTGATGGTGAATCGAAACTCTTTATCCGGCTGGTTGCATGTAACCAAGACGTTTGGATCCATAACCGTGCTGCAGGACTCTGCCTGTTCTTTGCGGACCATGTACAACTTGTAATACTCATAAGGCCGTGTGTGCTCCGCCTTGGGGCAAATAATGTCCAATCGGTCTCCGATTGCTGGGTAAATCACCAAGCCCTTTCCCGATAAAAATCTGCGGAGGAAAAATAAAAATCATTAGATCATGCCTGGGCTTTTCGCCTGGTTTTTGCACCCACATATCACCCGCTCAGCAGTCACCTTCTAAGCCCCATCTGTTACCATACAATCACACCTTTTTTGCCATTTCCCACATTGCACCACACCTGCTACTTTCTCCACACTGTCCGCGTACAGCTTGTGCTACCTAATTTCGACACAGGATGATTGCAAGGGATGGGCCAACAAGGGGAGAAATCCAAAAGAAAATTAGACTTTATCTGGAACATCAAATGCCGGCAGCGAGGAAGTAGCAGTACAAAAATCCACAAACACCGAGCGCTGCGGGGATGTGTAATGGGGTTTGGCATTTGGATGGCACCCAACATCCACACAAAACCTGTGTGGAAACTAGGTGTGTGCATGCCCGGGGCTTTACAGGCTACTGGCATCCAACAGAAAAGTAAGTGAGAAATTTGTAAGCTCTGTGCTGCTCCAAGTAGGTCAGGTAAGAGAGGAAACAAAAAACACACAGGTTCTAAGGTGTATTGACTACGGGGCAGGCAGTCAAATTCCTACTGTTCAGGCCTGAGTTTGCTAGCAGGGTCTTCAATGCGCAGAACAACCGCTTCAGCCACCTCCAGCGTTGGCACACCAGAGAGTAATCTGGCACATGGCATAACCAGATAGCAAAAAGATCTCGACCTAAGAGACCATCATGGAGCAAAATCCTCAACTGCTGCAGGCCAGGTGGCCATTGGGCTGCCTATGAGGGCATGCCTCCTACAGGCCACATAGGCAGGCCAACTGAACAATGCTGCTGCTAATTGCAAGGCAGCGGCTTAGTGTTGTCAGACTGCAACTGAGGTGCTTTTGGCAGGATCGTCAGGTAAGAAATTTTGCAACAGACTCCCTAAAAATTGTATACGGTGAGGGCCAAACAAGCTGAAAAATCAAGTTTACATACAACCACTCAGGTTCACCCAGGTTGAGGGACCTCCCAGAAGACTGCATTTACACAATGCATCCTCAGCCAGGGCTAGGAATAGAGGGACATTGCTGAGGACATTATAATCCACTAAGCATGGTCCCCCGTTATAGACTTGACATTTCCAAGCAATGGAGACCAACTGGCTCTGTAGCTTTGTTTTAAAAGTGCTCCACAGGACGCGGCTATGAGGCACCAGTTATAACAAGCAGATTAGTATAGCACTGACGCTTGGCCGGTGACACCACAGCCAGGGAAGTCACCGGTTCAAAGACAGTGCAGAGACAGATCCTTTAATATATATTTTTAAGCCCTAATAAAAGAAAGGAGTTTCGGCCTTGGAAAGAAGTTGGCTTTCTTGTTTGGTCCATCAGATTTGACACCGGAATTAAATTTGTAACTGGTGGCGTGGCGCTTCAATCTCAAATTTGCACTATAAACCAAGGAAACTGTGGGAATTCTTTGGTGGGTTGAAAGTGCCAGCTCGGAATCTAGACACCTTGTTCAGATCGGATTTTACCGATAGGTCAACCCTTGGGATTCCAGGACTATAGGTTGAACTCTATGGACATGTCTTTTTTTTCAACCTATGTACTTACCCATCACCCAAGCTAACAATAACCCGGCAGGGGCATTGACTCTTCCCTTCTCTATCCAAAACCAAGGAAAGGTTTTGGCTTTATATAGACAGAACTTTTGGCTTTATATAGATAGAACTTACCTTATGGTCATGACGTGCCCTAAAACAGGGCGCACAGATGTACAACTTTATGAAGACCACAAAGCGGCAAGGACCCAGCCCCTAGGCCAACATGCAAATTTTTTCAATAAAACCAAGAGAATTCCCACCAAATTTATGATCAGACGCGAACGACGGGGGATGGGTAAAGCGAATGCCCTACATTGATTCTATGGAACAGTGAAAGCGCTTTGTCTTAGAGAAAGAACTGGTTAATATTTTACTTGCCGGGCAGACAGGAAGGCCTCAAGTCTTCTAGGTCTACATGAAAAGATATATTTCTACACATAAATATATATATTGCAGTCTCCGGGGGAAGGGATAAAGCCTCGGCAGGGCGTCCCCAGCAGATTCAGACGCACAGCACAAAGGCCGTCTCACAAGAGCCTGTTAGCTGTGCACATTCCTCTCTGGCCGGTTCCTTGGGAGAGCTATCAGGTGGCAGGCCCCAATTTTCTTATTGTTCGGGGAGGTGTTTTCTGATGGGAAAGGTGAAGAGGGGATTTGTGAGGTCTGAAAAACGATCCCTCCAAGTTGGGTAAACAGGAATTGCTTTGTTACCGGGCAAGATTCACAAGCTGTGTGATAAATGTGTGTGCGTTTAATGTGTGTGCCGACCAGGGTGGAGCTGTGTGCAGAGAAAAAAAAATGGGGAAAGAAAGGCCCTATGAAGGGCACCCTAGGGGCAAGATGAAATATCAAGGGTGGTGCCCCTAGTTACTGCAATGGTTCCATGACCTTCAAACTTCATAGATCAGTTCTATCAAGACTCCACCAATTCCCAATCCTTTCCACGCAAGCATTACTGTAGCATTTAAAAAAAAGCTATAGTTAAAGTGGACATGTCATCAAATGTAATGTTTCATGCTGCTTTCTCCTTGCTACAAAGTTACAATGTTGCAGACTGATCACTTGGTAAGGGAGACGGGGGACATGCTTTCTCCTGCCTGCAGCAGACTCATCATTTCAATCGAGGCAAAGTCACCGAATGGGTTTTTATAGCAAAGCTCCACCTTTTGATTAAAAAGCTGTTCTTGAGCTCCAAATACTTCCTAAATCAGGAAGTTATACCGAACGGTCCCCTTTAAAAAAAACAGAAAAAAAAAAATCCTATATACAACAGTTATCAGAATTTCCGGGGACAAACTCGGACTGACAAGTTCATGAATATTAAAGCGGTATAATGGCGTATCCCTGGGGCTTTTGGCTCTATTGGGGGTGGGAAAGAAAAAAAAAATCTGTTGTGTGCATCGGGAAGGGGAGGGGGAGAACAAGGATCACCCCCAGTCTCCGACTGGCCAAATCCCTTTCACGTCCCGCTTAGGCTTTTGTTTTAGGATTGCCACAATTGTGCTGGGGTCTCTGAAGACGTGTTATCTCATTACGTTCCCCGGCGCTCAATGGCCATCATTTGCATATGAGAGCGCCTAAACAAGCCCCCTCTCATGTCCCCGCAACTCCCCTTCTCCCGATGAAGTGGGGAAGTTAACCATCAAAGGCGTATAATGCGGATTACATTCCTCGCCCATTCAGCCGCATAAAGACTGGCACACAGGGGGTGGGGACTGGGAAGGCAGTTGGCAACGGAGCAAGAGATGGAAATGAGACTAACAGAGCCCATTAAATCTCCAAAGAATAACTGGAGAGGGATCATTCGCTACGTTCATCTGGATCACCTGAACTACAATCTCAACAGACAACCTCAACCCGACGGGAGGTGTCGAGGAACAGATGGCCGACCTGAAGTGTGGAGAACTTTCCTCCTCTACATTCATACAAAAGTCATTGTAGCAGGAAAACAGAAGTATACAAAGTACTAAAAATTCAGAAGAATAAAAACGGTTTACAAAAAGTAGAGTTGCCTCTCATAGTCCCTCTCCAAGCTGCTGATAAAGCTACTGGTCGTGCCCCCTCCCGCAGGACTGCATGGGTTAATGCTCATTTGGCTAGTTTAGGATCAGCTCTGAGTTGAGCTTTAAAAAACACATTTGCCAAAATAGGGCAGTACAGAAACAAAAGGTCTACCTCCCGCCTGGTCCAGGTCTACCCCCAGGGTCTACCGCCCGCCTGGTCCAGGTCTACCCCCAGGGTCTACCGCCCGCCTGGTCCAGGTCTACCCCCAGGGTCCACCTCCCGCCTGGTCCAGGTCTACCCCCAGGGTCCACCTCCCGCCTGGTCCAGGTCTACCTCCAGGGTCCATCACAACCTGACTTCTCCCTAAGACAACCAAGTCCTGTCCAGGTCCATCCAAGAGCCATGGACCATAAAATACCAAAACCAAGTACACATAAGCTGCAGCTTATAAAACAATACTGTGTAGCCAAACGTGGCTGTTGTGGAACTACAAGTCCCATGAGGTACTGCAATACCCACAGGTATGACTCCAGGGGAGAG